CCTCGAACTCAGAGGTCTACCTGCCTCTGCCTCGCAAATGCTGGGATTATAGGTGTGTGCCACCACCTCTCAGCGATAAAATAGTTTCTAATAAGATGATGTACTAATTTTATTAACGGCTTAGTATCATGTCTCAAAAGGCCAGGATTTTTGACAAAGGCGACAGAATCGGGCCCTGGGAAGGAGCCCGATGGAGAGGGTGGCTTCTCACCCACCCCAGCAATGCACTGCAATGTCCCTAATGAAGATGGTATTCCTTTTGTTTCAAAGAAGTCTCAACCAGGAGCAGATACTGCACATGCAAGCCGGTTTTGCTGGTGCAGTGACTTTAGGCTCTAGAAGGGACTCCTCAGGACCTAGCACTAATAAAGATCCTCCTAGCACGACAGATCACCTTCACGACTTGGTTAGTGATCAGTACTTCCAGGAGAAGGCATTAGAAAGCAGAAGACAGAACATCTGTTCCCTCACCGCATGGTTGCCACCAGGAAGGAAGAGGGACCTTCGGGGCGATGTCTAGAGGCTTCAGAGATGGGATCACACCTTCCTGGTTTCTCGGGTACATAAGGCTTCTTGAACTTGTCCAGGCATAAGCTGAGCATCCATAGCTGACAAAATTCTCGGCAGCATGTTGGCCTTACTACCTGAGTCTTGGATCTGGAATACTGCAAGGCTCCAGAGTCTGTCCACAGCACTCCCCTGGGAGCTTTGGCATGCCCTTGAGGTTGGGCACAGCAGTGTGGTAGGGTGGAGGAAGGCCATAGTAGAGAGTAAGCCCAAACCATTAATAACCCCTTTCTTTCTAAGCATGCTACTGTGAAGAGTAAATTGACTATAATTTCCAGAGGGCTTTTGGCTATCAGTACTACAATTAGGAAACAGAAAACCCAAGCTACAGAAACATACAGAAACCACAGGATGAACCACTGCTGTTAGAATAATTCCTTGCCTGCCCCATCCCCAGAAAAGCAGTATCCTGCCAGGACAGATTGCTGTACACTACAGTCACAGGCAGACTGCCTTCTCCAAAGGCCCAGAAAGAGAACAACCTCCTGACCCATCTCTTTAACAAGTCACCTCTCATGTGTCTTCCTAGGACCTTTCACCAGAAATAATAAATAACCCTTTAATACAGTTCCTCATGCTGTGGTGACCCCAGCCATAAAATTATTCCATTGCTACAGCATAACTGTAATTTTGCTGCTGTTATAAACAGGCATGTAAATATCTGATATGCAGGGTATCTTATATATGACCCCCGAGGGCTTGCAACCCACAGGTTGGGAGCCGCTGTCTTAGAGCTTTATGTAGACAACCAACATTGGAGATCATTACTGATATCTTGGGCCCCTAGAAAGTCTGTCCAGTCTAAGGTCCATGATGTGGGAGAGTTTTCTGTTTTGTGTCGATTTGATTGGTTAATAAAGAGACTGCCTTGCCCTTTAATAGGACAGAAAATTAGGTAGGCGGAGTAGACAGAACTGAATGCTGGGAGAAAGAAGCCGAGTCAGGCAGTGGCCATGATTCTCCCACCCGACACAGATGCAGGTTAAGATCTTTCCTGGTAAGCCATCTCGTGGTGCTACACAGATTATTAAATATGGGTTAAAGCAAGATGTGAGAATTAGCCAATAAGAGGCTTGAACGAACAGGCCAGGCAGTGTTTAAAAGAATACAATTTGTGTGTTGTTATTTCGGGTATAAAGCTAGCCATGTGGGAGCCGGGTGGTGGGAAGCGGCCTGAGAGATAGAGGCCTATGGTATTTGTAGAATGACTTCAACTCAAGCATGGAGCTTGCCAGATGATTCCCTTGGGATAGCCTGAGCTATATACTGAGCCTCCTTTGCTCTCCTGCTCCAAGGATGGTGACAGAGAAGAATGGAATTTGCCCAAGGCTTTCCTATCTTATATTAGTGTGGTGGTCTGAATGAAAACGGCCCCCAGGGAGTGGCACTATCAGGAGGTGTGGCCTTGTTGGAGGAAGTGTGCTACTGGGGGTGAGCTTTGAGGTCTCAGAAGCCCAAGCCAGGCCCAGCGTCACTCCCTCTTCCTGCCAACCAGATGTAGAATTCTTAGCTCCCTCTCTAGCATCATGTCCTCCTGCACCCTTCCATGCTTCCTGCTGTGATGACAACAGACTAAACCTCTGAACCGTAAACCAGCCCCAATTAAATGCTTTCCTTTATAAGATTTGCTGTGGCCATGGTGTCTCTTCACAGCTGTAGAAACCTTAACTAAGACAACTTATACAATTTTAACAACAATAACAATTTTAGGGTGGGGAAAAGAAAAGCCAAGACTCTCACTTCTCTCCCACTTCCAACCTTGGTAACCGCAGGTCCAGTGGATGTTTCTGTCCATCAGTCACATCCTGATGTCCCAGAAGATGGTGACAGGCATAGACATTTCCTTCTCCCTCTTATGCTTACTACTCTGTGGTCCTAGCACAAACAGAGGGAGTCCTTGGGAGAGATGACCCTGCTTATTGCCATCTTGGGAAGGGAGTGGTTCTTCTGTGAAAACCTGCTTCCTATCTCCAATTTCCTCTCAGTTCTGCGCAATGGACCTGCTCGAGGGGATGGGAGAGAACAAAAACAAACAAATGTGTCTTCTTCCTAATGGGCCCTGAGAGGTGAGGGAATGTTATAACAGCCCTCATCTTTATCCGTATAGACCAGGTTCGCAACCTGTGGGTTGCTCTCCCTTTGGGGGGACGTCACATATCAGATATCCTGCATATCAGATATTTTACATTACAATTCACAACAGCAGCAAAACTAGTGCGATGAAGTAGCAAATATGAAATATGAAACTAATTCTAGGGTGGGGGCACCACAACATGAGGAACGGATGTATTAAAGGATCACAGCAGTAGGAAGGTTGAGAACCCCTGCTAGACTAGACTGTGTTCTCTGCTCTTCTTTGCAGCTTAAACAATGATGATTTTCCTAAATCCAATAATGTCCAAGAGTACTGTGGACCCCAAGATTCATGGTCCTTCTCACAGGACTCCATATTAGAAGTCTTTGAGAAAGACTAATCGGCTAATCTAAAATACTCAGTCTACCACTCTGGCTGCTAATTCCTTTATTCTCACTCAGTTATCTGCGTTCACTTCAGTGGGGGCCCTTGACCAGGTCTAAGAAGCCTGGCAGGTCAATTGCTGAAATTAGAATAGAACTCTGCGCTAAGTGTGGTGGCCCACACCTTTAATCACAGTGCTTGGGAGGCCGAGGCGGCAGATCTCTAAATTCCACACCAGCCTGGTCTACTAGCGAGTCCCAGCCACCACCCCCCCCCCCCCCCCCCCCCCCCCGGGACCACATAGAGACTGTCTAGAAACAAAACAGAAAGCAATAGGAGTCAGACTCTGGCTTATGAGGTCCTCTGGATCCACCAGCATACTCTTGAGCACAGCACACACTGAGGTGTGCTGGAAAAAAATGCCCTGCTTTGCATACGGTTGCTGAGCAACCAGTGGCCAGGTGAGGGTTCAGAGTTGGGCATTTGCGATTCTGGAGACATTGTTTCTCTTTTACTTCCTGTTTTTACTCCGGTCATCTTAGAGATGAGGTGACCGATTCTCAACTATGACTATAAAGCTCTATTGAATTTCACATTAGCAAAAAGCAATGTCGCCTTTCTTTCCATCTCTGCACCGGCAACTGTGCGCAGTGTGTGATGGTTTGGGAAAGGGAGCCAGCGTGTCAGTTCACACAGCTGTGACGAATGTCCTGGAGAGCAACTGGAAAAACAGGAAAGATCTCTTCTGGTTCGTGGTCACTTTACTCGACTGCCATCCGTGGTCCTTTAGTGAGTCAGAACACCACGGTGGAGAAGGGGTGGGGGTCCCAAGTAGCTCATTTCAGGGCAGCCAGGAGAGGGTCGGGGAAGGTGTGCCCAAAGGCACCCTTCCCCCTCACCGAGTGATTTATTTCCTCCAACCAAGTTCCACCTTTTTCAACTTCCTACCACTTCCCCAGAGAGCACCACCTGCTCGGGACCAGTCTGGAAGACTTTTCACATTCAAGCCGCCGCAGCTGTAGATGGAGCCCGCGGCTGTATCTGCTCATTAGGTGCGGGGCTCGGGGCGGCATCTGCACACTTTTTGTCCGCCCTGCTGTTCGTCCCACAGCTGTGCTGCCCTGAGCTTTCCCAGGGAGGCTGAGGGCTGCAGACACTTCACCCTTCCTCCTTTCTCCCCCATCCTTTCTATAGAACTTCCTGAAAATCTCACTTAGGGTGTGGGTCTGCTAGCCAATGGGAGAGGGAGGCCACATCAGAAGGTGGCTTATTTCCCTGGACACCGAGGTTGTGCGATCAAAGCGGTTCAAAGTTGTGACAGCCACGGGTAGTTTACCCACGATCATCCAAACCACACATTTGTCAGCTCTTCCTTCAAGAGCTGTGAGAGAGGAGGAAGAACCATGACCTTGGGGGACTAGGTTTGGTAGAGGACAACAGTTGCCTTTCCTTCTCTCTGCTCTTGTCTGTGGGTGGCGAAGGCTATCTCACCTGCCTTCACTACCAGACAGCCGGAAGCAATGAGCCTCTTCCCCTCTGCAAGCCTTTTTGCTTTCCCAAATCCACTGAATACAACCTAAACCTTAAAAAAAAAAAAAAAAAAAAAGCAAGATGTGTACAGAAAACAAAACAAAAAACCCCACTAACTGAAAATACGGCTCCCCTTCCTCAGACGCTAAAAATAGAAGGATAGTTTCAGGGTTTTTTTTTTTTTTCAGTATTTATTACATTTTTGTTTTTGAGACAGATACAAACAATCCATTCTCTTCCACCACACACACAAAACAGCCATTCTTGTGATTGTATAAAGTGCATTTCCCCACTACCATCGTGTACAAAAATATTTCTTAAAACCATGCAGAAGGTTTTGGACAAGGCACTCTTAGGCATAGGGTGAGGAGGACAAGCCATCTGCTGAATATTCACATTTAAGCAAAAGTGTCATATCATGTCATGGATAGTCTAGAAGTCCTTGTGGCCGGGGGGGGGGGGGGGTGTCTCTGGGAATGAGCAGCAAAACCGTGGAAACACTCACAGCTTTGTGGGTTGAGCTGGGGGTACCTTACAGCCTGCAGCAGGAGGAACTACTGTCCTCCACTTCAGGACCGTTGCCAGACTGTCTCCTAGGGAAGATGCCGCTCTAGGGAAGATCCCATGATTTCTGGAACAACTTAGCTCCAGGTACGTGAAGACCTTCCTGGAACAAACAGCCAGCATGCAGCTTCCATCTCAGGGATAAAACAACTCCAACCATTGATTCAAGTTGCTTCCGTTTCTTGCGAGCTACAGACTTCCACTATTTCTTACTAGCTTTCCTATAAAAGAGTTCACACAGCACTCAAATGCTTCTTGTAAGAAACACAGAAAACTTGTTTACCAGATGAAATTTCGTAGCCCAGGTTATTTACTATAGCCATTCTGCAAAAGCATCCCAGAGGATTTGGGGAAATAAATATGAAACAGAAATAGGGTTGCCCTTCCCTTCCTGGATTATAGTGTCTGGGATGGACGCTGGGGTCAGAGTCCATTCATCGCCGTAACCAAGGGTTGCACGAAGGCAGATCTCCAGGCCAGGTTTGCCAAGGGATCTTCAAGCAAGGGGCCTGTCACCCTCTGAGGCGTGTAGGTTTGTCTACAATGGTGAGCTAGGAGTAAAGTGTAGTCTCTCAAGGCAGCTCCCGGGGCTATCTCAGTCACGGGACAGACTGGGTCAGAAGGAGGAGGGTTGTACAGAGAGTCTTCAGAGTCTCAGTGAGTGACAGCAGTGAGGAGGGAAGTGAAGAAGAGTCTTGGCAAGCAGGTGAAGACACGTCCTCTGGGCTGAGCGCTGGGGTGCCTATCCCAGGTGTGCTGGCTAGGGGCTTTCAATCAGGGCCCCTAGCAAGAAAGCTGGGACAAATCTTGGTAAAAGGGGGCGTGGGTTTATTTCTGCTTCAGAGGGGATAAATAATGTGGAATTACCATATCTCATGTTATGACATGGAATGTCTGAAAACCATTCCACACCACTGGACAGACTTCATGCTGTAGTTAGTGGGGGCCCTTTTCTTCTGAAAATGATCTCTAGTCTGCTACTCTGTGAGTAACCGTGCAGCTGGCTGCCTTACTGCACCAGGAAAAGAAAACTTAGCCCAAGATGAACCGTATGACCCATAAGAGCTCAGTTTTGCTTGCATCCAATTTAAACCTAGCAGCTCCAATCACCATAACTGGAACATTTAAAGTACATCCATCTAGCAGAGATATGGCATGCTTACACAACGCACAACCCCACCTGACTTCAACCTGACTCACGAATGTGATTTCCCCACAGACATCAGCATGCAACCCCAGAGCGCTACCCATCTGGGAGAGCCACAAAGCACATAGTACAGACCAGTACCAGATATAGGGATAGAAAACCAGACAAAACAGCGCTTAAAAAGTTAAAACACTTTAAACTTCAAAAGTGAAAAAAAAAAAAAGATAAAAAAGAAATCACACATGCTAAGATCAAAAACATTTGCTACCTGCCTGATGCTAACTTCCGAAGCCAGAGGGCCCAGGGTCATGTTCAGCGCCTCCCCGCGCACCCCTGAATCCATGATACCCTGCCCCTCTTTCCCTGTAGCCTCAGGGAAACTTTGCTTCAGCAAGAAAAAAATTAAACAGACATTTTACCAATTTTCCAAAACAAAACAACGCCCCTAGAGTTCTACAAATATGCATGTAAAAATAGTTTTCCAACTTCCCTGTAATTTTAATTTGCCCAAGAGAAAAATCACAGGTTGTGGGGGTCCATCCGATGGTAACAGTTCCAGGAGTCTCGAAATACCACTTGATAATACACTGCCGTCCAATATGGTTCAGAAAAAAAATTCATCTCTGATACCTCAGAGTTGACAAATGTTTAAAATAGCATAGAAAAACTCAGTGAGGTTTTTCTCCCCTCCCCTTTACAATACACACCATAAGTAAAAGCTCCCAATCAAGGTCCTTGGGGGCTTGTGAAGCATTCCGAATGTAACTGTATACTGCAGACAAATCGAAGCATTTTCTGCAGGCTTCGAGGATATCCCAAACATGCTGTTTGAAAGTCTCAGATGCAGCATTGAAGTGGACACTCCAGGAGAGGAGAGCTATGATTCTCCCGTGACCAAAGCAGCTCACGCACCAGCCTGGCAAAGAGCTAGTCATTGAGCCTTCCGGTAATTTGGGGGTGAAACTGAGTGCTTAGAAAGCGCCCCCAAAAGCCAAGGGGAAAAGCTAGAACTTTCGACTGTCCCACCTGGTCACAAAGCTGACTCCAAAAGGAGATCAGTGACTTTCTAGTAACTGGTGTGTGCCCCCCCTATTGGAATATAAAGGAGGGTCAGGAAGAGGGGAGAGGAAATGCCTATCCCAGCCACAAGCTACTTATTTGCTTTGATTATCTTGTCTGGATCACTGGCTGGGCTGTGGAGGAGAAGAAAAGAACCGTGGAGTAGGAGCTTGCACAGAACGGGGCAGCCTCCGTCCCTCTTCTGCAGTTGCGGGCTATCAGGCTAGTGTGTCACAGAGCCAAGATAAAGGCCACTCTGAGGATGTGTGGAATGAAGGCAACGTGAAGAAACGTAAGGGTGGGCAGGGCCCCCCGAGGTCAATGGTCAGGCTGGAGAAGGCTGGAGACTGGTGGCTTCTGGGAGACTGACTTCGCACATCCAATGGTAGAGGAGAGGCCAGCTACCTCCACGCTTGCCTGCTTGGCTCCTCTCCAGACCACCCTGGCACCATCCTGTGCCTTCCTTTGTGGCCAACCTGGATGCCACAGAGGACCAGCACACCTGCTCTCCTCTGAGCAAGGAACCAGCCGTGACAGAAGCGTGCCAGAATTGCTGGTTTACAAAAGAGGTGAACAGGATCCTGTCTTTTCAAAGACCCTGCCCAGTGGCAGTTCAGCTTCACTCTTGTCTTGCGGTCTCTACCCCATCTGGATCAGAGTCAGACTGTCCAGGGCACTCACTAGTAGTAGGGTCCCAACTTTTCATAGCCCAGGTAGCTAGGCCACTCTGGAAACAGGCCATAGGAACACCGGGGGCTTCCGAACTGGTCAAAGGATATTCCAAAATCTGGTCCATTGTATGGCTCAATCACTCCCTGAGGGGATCGGAGTTCAGCCCGGATGATCCTGTAGTTTTTGCCTTTGTTGCTGTCCCAGTAGGCCTGGCCATTACACTCATAGCACACAGCAAACTCCATCCTCTCGTAAGACTGAATTTTCTCAGGTAAGCTGATGTCAAAGGAGAACGTGTCCCTGTCTGAACCAGCGTAAGTGTCCTTCACATACTGACAAGGGAAGTCTGTGAAGCTTTTCCAGGTGTCAAATGTCATTCTGATCTTCACAACCTTCTCGAATGCCAGGTTCTGGACCTTCACCGTGCCCGCAATGGCTTTCTCCTTCAGCACACAGTTCTCCAGGCAGACATGGTTGGTCTGAAGCCGATTTCTGAAGTCTAAGTAGTCTGCGGAAGGCTGCGGGAAATCCAAGACAAAGCTCTCGCTCTCCGCTGTCGTCAGACTCACGATGTTGTCGAGGAGCTCGGTGATGTTAAATGGAATATCTAGCGGGTCATCAAATTCCGAGAACACTTTGACCATTGTCAGGGCCAGCCCCTGATTGTCAGCAAAGGACACCCGCTTCTTCACCTTCTTCTCCTGCACCGTGGGGGCCACTATGCCGCCGCTGCCCTCATCCTTGCTGCCCAGCTGAATACAGGGTCTCAGGGGCTTGCTCAGCTTTGGGGAGATCTTGAAGGTAAAGCGTTCCCGGCGCAGAGAAGGGGCCATGCTGCTGTAGCTGTATTCTATGTCCACAGCCATCACGGGACTAGACGAGCGGGCTAGAAATCTGGCCAAAGGGAGATGAGAGAGAACAGTAGAGAGGTCAGAGAGGTGTTTAAACCGTCATTCTGGCGGAGACTGACAAACAATGCTGTCTTTCTCCTGGAGCAGCACGCACTCCCCTGTGGTCTCACAGGACACAGGTTTCAGGGAAGGTGGGGAGGGGGAGCAGGCAGCTAGAAAGAGAAGCTAAGATTAAAACCAACAAAGAGAAGAGCGCGGAACTCCATAGTTTCAAGGCTAATTCATGAGTTTTTCTGCTGGGATATCCTGGGCTCTCCTGTATGCTAATATACCATAGAAGGAAATAAAAAGGGCATTAAGAATTATGGTTTTCTATTGTTTGCAGAATTACTCACTTATTTGACTGAAAGAATCCCCCCCCCCCCCGCCAGTTATGTGGAGTATATGCCCCACAAGGAGCTGATCTGATGATTGTGTTTGGTAAACACTGAAGTCTATTTATTATTTGACAAACACAAATTGTTTCATTTCAAAGTTGAAGAAATGACCCAGCAAGCAGAGGTGTTTGCCACCAGGCCTCACAGCGTCACTTCAATCCCTGGGATCCACAGAGGATGGAGGGAACCATCCCCACGATTGTCCTTTGACTTTTACACATGCAACAGGCACACACTAAATAAATAAATGCAACAGAAACCGTATGCACACCTTGTGGAACGGCTGACATACTTAACACACATTTCCTCGAATTTCGGAGGTGAGGAGTATATTTAAAATCTACTCTAAGCAGTTTTCAAATCTACATTCTCATTGACTTTTGTAGCCACCCTTCTATTACATATTCAATGTCTTGCCTTTTTAGAGTCTACTTGACTATATGCATTTGCCTTTCTGTGATTGGCTTATTGCACTTAACACAGTGCCCTCTAGGCTCAATCTCCATGGTTCTACAATGACACCATTTCAATTTTGTCTCTAGGGACAGCACTCCACTGTGCATACATACGGCGTGTTCTTTGTCCGTTCACCCACTGAGAGACACTTGGCTAGATTTCATATCTTGGCGGTGTGTGGTGTTACATGAATATTGAACTATGGATGCCACCTCAATGCACTGATTTCCTATCCTTTGAATAACCACCCTGTAGCAGAATCGCTGGGTCACACAGTCATTTAATTTTTAATTTTTTGAGAAAACACCACAGTATTTTTGTAGTAGTTGTATTAATTTGCATTTCTTCAACTTTCATCTTTTTGAAAGATAACCAGTTTAACAGGTATAAAGTATGAGTTCCTTATGGCTTTAATAGCAAATGCTGGCTTAATAATACAAAAGCATCATATTTTTAAGACAAATATTGACTTGTTGTTTACCATGCATCAGGTATTATGCTGTTATACACTGGGATTCAATGATGAGGATGGACACAGATTTTCACTGAACTTATGGGGAGGTTTTTATGCTCTAGTTATCTTTCTTTAGAAAAAAGACTGAGTAGTTTATTTCTTTATACTTGGACATACAAGTTGGTATTTGCTTTGCAGACAGGTGACAACAGTTGCCATAAGAATTAGAACCAGCTGGACAGTGGTGGTGTGGTGGTGGCACATGCCTTTGAGTTCCAGACTTGGGAGACAGAGGCAGGTAGATCTCTGAGTTTGAGGACAGCCTAGGCTACAGAGTTCCAGGATAGCCAGAGATATGCAAAGAATCTCTCTCTCTCTCTCTCTCTCTCTCTATATATATATATATCAAATGCAATCACATTAAATATTAGCTTAGTTAAAACTTTGAGAGAAATGTAAAAGTGGGTCACAGCCATGCAAAGTATCCAGCCGTAAAAGTAATTTAAGAAAGTCAAAAGGAAGTTGAATGTGGTGGTGTAAGCTTGTAACCTCAGCTACTAAGAAGGCTGACTGAGGGGGACTGCAGGTTCAATGATGGCCAGGCTAAATAGTTAAATTTCATCTATAATTAATTAGCTAAATTAAAAAATACAGACATTTTATATTGGAAATGTTTGTTTTACCTTTTGGATTAGGAAAGAACTAGAAAAGACTTTTTTTGGGGGTGGGAGGTGGTCAAGACAGGGTTTGTCTGTATAGCTTTGAAACCTGTCCTGGAATGCACTCTGTAGACCAGGTTGGCCTTGAACTTGGAGAGCCATCTGCCTCTACCTCCCTAGTGCTGGGATTAAAGGCATGGGCCACTGCGTCTAGCTAAAATGTTATCATGTATTATTAATGTGAAAAGGAGACAAAACTGTACACAAATAGATAAGAGAGAAAATATTATGTATATAGAGATAGAGTATATACCCATTGGTTGTTTCCCAAGGTTTCAGCTCTTTGCAGTCCATTGTGTTTCAAAAATATTAAAATAAAAATTCCATAAGTAATTATTTAAATTGTGCACCATTTATTCTAAGCTATTGGAGACCATCCCATCTGGAGGAGACCTGCTTCTTCCAGGAAGCCAATTGTCTCCTGGTCGATAGATCCATGATACATTTGCCACCAGCCCATTAGGGACTTAGAGCCATCTCGGGTATCAGACAGTTGCAGGATTACAATGTTGTTGTTCAAGGAACCTTTATTTTCCTTCATAATGACCCCAAAGTAGAAGAGCAGCGATGTAAATGAGGTCCTTGGGCATATAACATGGAAAGACAGATGACGAGCAGGGTTGTGGTTGCAGGGAGTGTAGAAAATGCAGACCCCCAGGGCTGCCTGGGAAGGAACCCTGTTACGCACCGCCTGTAGATAGCATGGACCATTTTATGGTTAAAAATGTCAGACTAGGTATGTGACATATTTTCTTAAAGTTGTTTCCTGCTTTGTGTTTCCTTATATCATCTCAAACAATACTGTGTCTATAATCAGAAGAAAAAAAGAGAGAGAGAGAGAGAGAGAGAGAGAGAGAGAGAGAGAGAGAGAGAGCGCTTTAAGAAGCCATTCAAAACTACCCTGACACCTCACTAGAGCCACACACCCTTTTACCGTTCTTATAATGGCAGGTTTATAACAATGGTCTGAGCTAAAGAAGCGAGTAAGGAAACCTGGGCTGAAACCTCAACTCTGAGACAGCAGGTTCCAAACATCTGCCTTGTTCTGGCTAAAGTGAAGGGATCAGGCGGGTAAAGGTGTGATGGCAGGGAGGGGCCTTGTGCATAGGCTACCATGGCTGCCTGAAAAATGGCATCTTTTGACAAGCTGCTCATCTTTAGGGCAAGTGCTGGAGGACGGTGCATTTGACTCAATAAATATTCTTCCTTTCAACTTCTGAAGCTGGCTAACCCAATGTACTGAGAAAAAAAGTCTGTGCTGGCCTATGCTTTTGTTTCCAGCACTTGAAAGGCAGAGGCAGGCAGATTGCTGAGTTTGGAGCCAGCCTGGTCTACAGAGCTAGTTCCAGGACATCCAGGGCTACAGAGAGAGAAAGAAAGGGGGGGGGGGGGTGAAAGGGAGAGAGGGAGAAAGGGAGAGGGAGAGAGAGAAAGAACAAAGACATATCAGGTTCCCTCTGTACTTTTTTTTAAATAGTTACATTGGTTTTGTGGTACAAGAAGCCTGGTTACCCTGTTTTGCCTCTGAATCTGGGCACTTTCCCAAGTGGCCACGGCTAAGGGCTTCTTGCACCCACAAACCAAGGCCTCACTACTTCCCATCTTGTGAAGGAAGTCCTCCAGGGAAAAGTTTCAGAGTGAATTTGCTGGGTCTGTTCTCACGTCCCCTGCACAAGACTGTTGTTCCTGGAAAGCGAAATTGTGACTAAACTGTCTTTACAAATGATCAGAGAGCTGACTAACTTTATTTTAAAAGACTCACTACTTAACAAATTGGGTATAATTTCTCCCTGGCCCACTACGAAAATTTGTTAGAGACAGTCCTCCTGGTTCAACTTTAGTGTAGGTATTTTTTCCTACCGTTTAAATATGCATGAAAACTGAACACCAGGCACATAACAGCACGGCTCCACATTCCAGTGCCTCCCCACAGCCCACCCTTGAGAAGCTGGGAGTGGGTCGGGTGGGGGAGTCGGAGTTCCTTCTCTGCCAGGCACTTCCTCCTGGTCTGAGTCAGCAGCACAAGGCCAAGTGTCCCCCTCTTCAGTTCCTGCAAACTCTAGGAGCAGCCTCAGCCACGCTTTCCTGAAAGCCTTTGGAGCACCCTGTTGGAAAATGGCGCGAAATGGTCCTGCTACTGCGGAGGCGGACACTAAAGCACAGAGAGCTCTGAAGACTCCCCTCCCTGGCGACCCCGGAAGGACTCCCTGGGTTCGAGTCCCGCGCGGGTTCAAGAGTGGAGCTGACGCTGTTGGTGAGGTTGTAGTGTTGGCCCCCAGGATGTAAATGTGCCATGGGACTCCCTTCAGTACCAGACTGTAAGAGCAGGAAGAACTGAGGGTGGAGAGACATTTCTAACCAGAGCCAAGGCTAAGAAGACTATCCAAGTAGTATTTTCAAGTATAAAATATGCTTTCTTCGCAAAACTCTTCCATGAAAGGCGAACGTGAGGTTATAATGGGCCAGGAGTTACCACTGGGACTCCTGCCCTGTGAAATTGCATAAGCAGGCCTGGCTCAGAAACCCTTCATTTTTTTTTTTCTGGGTGTCGCCATCACTACAACTTAAGGACATTTACCCTTGTGGCCCCTATCAAGGGTATGATGTGACGGTCGTCCTCACAGAACATTCCAGCTTTTATTAACCTGACTCTCATCCAAGAATCGGTATACCAAAGTGCTTGTTTGAATTTAGCTTTCCTGACGTTCTGCCCAGGATGTCACGGCAGACTGTGTCAGGGATAATGGACACTTAGACGTACTCCCAGCCGCTGAGACAGTCGGGCAGTAGGTAAGTCCCCGAAGGCAGGCAGCTGGACAGGTGCTTCAGGAAACACATCCACACCCACACAATCTCAGCCATCTATCCCCCCCCCCCCAATCCGCCCTTCACCTTCCCCCACACACACTACTCCAGTCTTTTCCTCTACTGAGGAAAGAAGCAGAAACAGAGAACATGGATGTTCATTTGAGCCGGTAGAGTGTGACATAGGATCTGGGATAGTAGTTGCAGGACAGGATCTTGGGAGTAGGAGCTGTTTCCCAAGGACAGTGAAACACTTTAACGTGGACGCCTCAGAGGTTGACCGCTGACGAGGGACTGGGGCCATGTTTGGGACCCTTGTAGAAATACCTTCCCTGTTCTCGGGAAATAATGGGGTCTCTCAAGATACTGGGCAGACTTAGAAGGGCAGCGATAGTTCTTTTTATTATCTTTGACGAGCCTGAACAGAAAATAACCCCATGACCTTCCTAGTTGCAGGCATTTGAGCCACTGCATTTTGGGTTGTGCCTTTCTTTCAGCACCCCTTCCTCTCCGACATGAAAACCAGACTAACAATAACCCACCAGCAACGCTACATTACATAAAAATCCACAGCCAGGTTGTACGTGGACACCACCGTCTACTCCTCCCCCCTCCAGTGATCCTCTGTTCTCTCTGCAAATGTTTAGCTGGTAATTTTACATTTAAAAGTTGACATTGCCTCCCTTTTGTGCAAAGACCCTAATTATTACAGCCTTAATGTGTACGTCGCAATCCTTGGAGATGTTTGTGACTAGAACTGAATAAGGAGGGTTCAGATAATTTGAGACAGTCCTCACCACCTAATAACGTCCAAAGGCACCCGTGGGGCGCGGGCCTAAGAAAGCCCCTGTCCAACCGAGCTTTAACAAACAATCTCCCTGGCCTTGAGGTTTCTCCTCTGAGATCCCTCCCAGCTCTGACCTCCTGGGTAGCTAACAGGGCTCTGATGGTTCTCTTTCCACTAACTTTCCCCTAAATGGCCCCCCATCTACTTCTGTGGTCCTTCAGCTGTTTCCACTTTCTCCCTGGCTCCTGGACGTCTTTGCTGAATGAACCATTTCCTTTCCTGCCTAGGCTGAAAAAACCCTTTTTTCTCCTGGACCCTCGCGCAGCGACAGGGCCCACTCACGTCGTCTTTTTTTTTTTTTTTTTTTAAGTTTTTTCTTCTCTGTTTCGCTCTGGGCCTGCCATCCACTGTTCTGAAACTACGGTTCGGTTCACAGTCTTTTCTCCGAGTTTAAAAAGGTGTCTGCGAACAGGTTCCTGGGTGCAGGTCAGCGAGTCACTCTCCCACCAGTCACTCTCCGACGGTGATGTGCCTGCACCCCGCCCCCAAATCTCCCCGCGCCGCCTGGGTCTGCACCTACCTCTCCCGCGGCGCCGTAGCCCGGGCCCCTGCTCGCTGGCCTCATGGGAGAGCCGGAGAGAAGTGGCAGGGGTGACTGTTGCCCCTGAACTACGTGAGCCTCGGAGTGTCCCGGAGGTAGGGCCTGGGCTTAGTTCCCGGAGACGACCAAGGAGGAGGAGCCCAAGTTATCACCCCAGGGCGGGACCTGGAGACGGGACGGCCCAGGCTGGAGCAACGCCTCGCGAGCACCCCCGCGCGTTCCCGGGTAGAGCTCACCCCTACTCTGTCGCCCTAAAAGACCCAAGACTACCTTGTTCGTGTGCAGCAAAGGTTGACCTGAACCAAAGTAGGGACAAGCACTTAACTTGGAGTCAGGGCTTGGACACAGTTTTCTCATACCTATCTCGTAACGGGAAACTGAGGCCCCGCCGACTTGTATTTGGACTCCAGATTCCGCCGCAAAAACCTGGAATTATTCTCCAGAAGTATCAAATCTCAGGTTGGGAATGTGCCATGTTGGGACTTGCCACATTTTTTTGTTGAGGACAATTTCCCTGGCCACGTTCCGCGGGGCTAATCCCGTGCGGGGATCTCGGGGAACCCCTCTAGACTCCATCCCAGCTCGGGTGTCCGAGATGTTTCACCATGTGGAAGCCACAAGCTACCCGAGCTCAGTTAGGGTGTCCTACCACCTGCGTGTCACTGTAAGTGGGACGACAAATGGCAGGGAACAGAGGGGAGGGGGTTCCCCTGCGCGCCCCTCACCGCAGATTTCCTGGCCCTGCACCTTGAGCTCGAGGCTTGGGGAGGTACGTACCGACTACAGCTCTTGAGAACCGAGGGCAGGCCCTCCAGCCCACCCCACCATCTGCCCCGGGTGACAGTGACAGCGACCACGACGGCAAAAGTGGGGCAGGGACTAGGCTTGGTCCGTGCGACAGCAGCCCGCTCACCTGCTCCCTGGTTTGCAGCACTCTGGACTCCGGCTCCCACAGGCGGAGGCACACTTTTAACTTTCTAGCCACCTTTCCCTACGAAGGGTGCCATCCTAGCCCTTCCCCCTCCTCAACCATGAATACCGGACGCAGCCAATGAGCACTCCCAGGACGGACCAATAGCCACACTTGGGACACTCCGCCACGTGATCTGCAGCCGTGCGGTGAGTGACAGGGCTGGATTCCAGGATCTGGGAAGGGGACGGCGGGTCACAGTTTCATCAGGAGCCCGGGGACCCAAGCCAAGGGGAGGAAGCGATTTCCTACACTGGAACGTCCAGCTGTAGAAACTGACTGAGGAGCGTGGGCTGCGTGTAAAGTTTCCCCTTGCTACCAAAGTTCTAACCGGTCGTGTCTCAGGTGTAGAAGGCACTGTTGTCCTTCCATTGGCCCCGCCTTCGCCTTAGAAGGACAATAGCCCCAGGATTCACAGAGGACTGTGACCTTCTCAGAGCGCGGGGCGGCCAGAGTTCTACATTCCCTCCACAACCCATATCCGATTTTATTGGCATCTTTTGCAATAGCGTCCCTAAGCACTCTCTGAATCTTGCTTTGCAGCCATCGCTCCAGCCTAAGTTTTCCAGTAGCTGTGGTATTGGGCAGAACATGGCTTGCAAACTCACAGTTCTGCAGACGTGGTTGAGGAATTGTAAGGTGGGCTTATTTAGAAGAATGCCTGGTTTGGATTTGCTTTAGCAACTGTCTGCCGATTCATAGCCTCTGTATAGTTTCTGATGCCCTTGGGGCTCTGTGACTTAAAGGACACTTCAGGAGGTGACTTTAGGGACGGATGACTCCTCCCCTGAGAAATCTACAGACCTGAGTTGCTGCTTGAGGGAGGCTCCTCATGGTTCTCTACCTTTAATGACTAGTATCATTTGGGAAGTTGCTAATTGATACAGGGTTGCCAACTTTAAAAAGTACTAAATCAACACATTAAAACAAACAAATCCTACCATTTTTTAAGGCATCCCCCCTTTCTGTTTTGAAACAGCTTTTATTTATGTAGCTCAGACTGGTCTTCAACTTAACTCTGTAGTCAAGGGTAGCCAATAAACTCATGGTCCTTCTGGGATTATAGGCTTGTGGCACCATTACCAACTTTTGTTTTGTTTTTTTGTTCTCTAGTGTAGCCTTGGCTGTCCTAGAACTCACTCAGTTGACCAGGCTGGCCTTGAACTCAGTGAAAGGAGAAGGGGAACGGGGCGTGGACAGGGATGAACAGACACACAACCATCCCTAGGTTTGGAGGGAGAGCATTGCCAGAGGCAAAGACATCTGGGAGAGGCCAGAGTGAATGTGAACCTGAGGAGAAAGAGAAGAGAGAAGGGGAGAGGAGCCACTGACCAAGAGATGGACCAGGAGGGCAAAGGGTAGACCGAAAGGGGCTGGTAAACAAAAAGTCTGGATTATATAGGAAAGGGGAGCCTAGTCCCTGGGCTGGAGAAGTTTAGGGTAGGGGGCGGGGTATGCCAGCTATACCCTTAACAGGTAGGGACTGAGCGATGCTGGGAGAACCTGGTGACCAGGTCAGTTTTGATATGTTAAATAGGTACCTTAGGTTGGCATTTATCCTGGGTTTGAGACCTTACACTCAGAGACCTGCCTGCCTCTGCCTCTTGAGTTCTGGAATTAAAGGCACGTGCCGCCACTCCCAGATTCCACAAGTTTTTAAAAGTATTCTAACCAAGAGAACGACGGGATACAAGGTCATTATGTCCAGTAACTCATATTGGGTGCATTTAGATGTGTGGAAACTCATAGTTTAATATGGTTGGGGGGGCTCTACACTTAGGGAAATAGGAACATCTTTCAATATAAGTAGGTATCCAAGACTAAAACACTCATGGGTTACAATAATCTGATACAAGACTAAAGCTGTAATGGGGAGCCTCCCCAGCCCAAGTCTCGGGGCCCACTCCCTTCTTTTCTGATGGGCAAATGTGATACAAGACCACCTATGAATCTGCTATTGCCAACTCTAAATCCCTTTTCATTAACTGGAAGTCAAAGGTGAGTTAAGCCAAGTGCTGGCTACGATTCCAAATGTAGCGAGCATGCTGAGGGAGTGAGGAAAGCCCAGAAGTATTGCAAAATGCATGCCAGCAAAGGGTGATCGGACCCTAGCTGGGAAGGAGCTGGGACAAGCAAATATCATTTTATAGCACCCAGGTTGGGAAGCATCTTTCCTGCACAGATCTAGGAAACCGTGGGTAATAATTTCCCCTGTGGTTCAGATGACTATTTAAAAATCAGGAACGCGGGCTAAACTTAGTTGTGGGGCACCACAGGCTTGGTAGGTAAGAGTGTGGCGTCTGTGGGTTGGAAAAGAGCAGTCCTTTTCTACAGCTAGACTAGAGCTCACTGGGAGGCAGTACCTAGAGGACCTTTGGGCAGACAGCTGCCCAGAGCCTGAGAGCGGGCCTGGCCCTTAGGCAGGAACATGAAAAATTTCAACCCCTTACTCAAGGCACACCGAGTTCCTTCTTATAAAATCTGGCATTGAATTGGCCTGAATTTCACTTATTAAAAGCCACCCCCTCCCAGAAAAATAAACCAAAGGACATAGCAGCTGGGAGGAGGGAAAGGCATCATGAGAGAGTAATGGTTAGACTCTCCTCAACTCCCAGCCTCTTTCTACTAGGAAGTATCAACAGTCCCATTATCATTAGCGAAGACCTGGCTATCTCTGTATGGTCATGCTGTGACTTAGGGCCATGGTTATTCTGTGGATTGGCAGGGCAGTCTCTCTTTGCAGGATGGAGCTAGAGATGGTGGTGCCATGACCAGAGGGAACAGCCATTCCCTAACATGAGAGACAAGAGGTCTCCTCGGGATATGCGTGTCAACAAGGGTGATGAAGAATAGCAAGTTGGAAGATGACTTTTTCCTGAGCATTGGCCACTTAGCAGATTAAATTATGATTGAAGAACGCAAGGCAGGACTTGGCAAAGATAAAGAATCCTAGAATCTGTTGTAGAATTGCCTTTCTGCCAGTTAAAATTAGGTCCTGTAGCTCTTACCTCTCATTGGAGATGCTTCTTATTCCAGTGAAGGGTGTTTGGTGCAGAGACTTACAACTAGTCAAAATGCACAGAAAAGGTCTCTGGAATTCTCAGCCCAAACAGGACATCTATATCACCACCTCCATCGGGGAACAGGGCAATGCCAGAAGAGGACACAGAAAGATGTAAGAGTCGAAAGTCAGGGAAGATGGCTGTAAAATAGTTTCCTCTTCTTCCTCCTCCCACTCCGTTCTCTTCCTCCTCCTCCTCCTTCGATTTTAAAGGCAGGTTTTCTCTGTGTAACTCTGGCTGTTCTGAAACTCACCCCGTAGACCAGGCCAAGCTCAAACTGATATCTGACTGCCTCGTCTCCTGAGTGCTAGGATTTAAGGTGTACATCACCACACCTGGGTGAAATTGTGTCCTCTTGATAGGAAGGAGCTCTTGCACTCATGATCTCACGGCATCCGTAGTTGACCTCAAGGGTGAGGCCCCGCCCCCAGCAGACGGCTTTAACTGACCTGTGGGCAGCGCTTATTGGACTCAGTGGGTTATTAGAAAAAAATGGAGGTTATGAAACTGGAAGGGGGACTAGGATATCTGAAAAAAAGTTTTGGGGAATGGAGATAGATACGATCAAAATATGTTTTGTCTAAGTATGACATTTTCTAAGAATAGAGAAGTAAAATCAAAAATTTTAAGAACAAGTCATTTTCTGGTTTCCATGTAAATTTTTTTATTCATTTTTTTATTCATGTGTTAGAATTGACTTTCTGCTCATTCAGAAATTTTGAAGAGATAATGTTAGTGCTTTATCACTTGGATGCTTTTCAACTTTTTTTTTTTAAATAATCCCATCTAAGAGCTGGAAGAGAAACCTTTAAAAATATTCTAATATTATTCCTCTCCAAATGAAGGTTATTGAAGAAATGAATCTAAATCAGAATAAAGGGAATGTCATTCTGTTTGGTCAGAATGGAAAGTGAGAAGAGCTGTTTCCCAGCCCCCAAATTGATTTATAGCTCGTCAGTGGTGTTGCTTGCACCTGTCAGAGCTGCAGGTGTGTTCTGGGTGTCCTGTGTTATCTGGGGGCCCTTTCCTCACTCACATTCCACTGACATGGACTGGCAAGGGCGTGCTTTAGAGGGACAGAAGGATGAGGACAAACAGAGCAACCTACAA